GCCATTCCCCCAAGAAGGCACCCTGGTCCTCAGCCTGCACGGTAGGCCATTTTTGGGCAAATTAAGCTCATGGAAGTGAGCTTCCTCCTCATGAGGCCAGGAGGAAAGAGGAGAGGGAGGCTGGAAAAGGCAGTCCTGCCTGCTGAGCCCCTGAGAGTGGGGCTGCCCTGAAGGTTGAGGTGCCCTTCTCCACCTCTCACCCCATCCTCAGGCTAATTCTCATGGAAGGGTCTAGGCCGTTCTTTTTGCCTTTCTCCCTAAGAGATTTTTTTGGTGCTCAGAAACAACTTTTCTTAAATTGATCTGTGTATTTTTCTCCTGTGTGAATTTTGAACATATGACTGGTTCTGTGGTTTTCCTCCTTTATTTTTTTTTTTTCATTCCTCTTGAAAGCTATGCACATGTGTTCTTCCTTCTACATTTGAGTGCTTCTGTTCAGTGTGATCCTGATCTAAGAGATGTTCCTAGATTGAGGTAGACTCCCTTGAAAAAAGAAACATTCAGTGTTTTTAACCAAGCTTCATTCTTATGACCTGAATAGAACACTTGTTAGTCTGTTTATGGAAAGAGAGAGAACCAAACATTTTGCTGTCACAGACATAATACTGTATATACCCACTGATATAAAAACAAAGTCCTCCAAAGATGCTGGTACGTTTGATGCCATGAAAACATAAAATTGCATACATCAAAACTCTTGGAGTTGGGCGTGTGGTTCAGTGGTTAATCTCTTGTTCAACATGTGGCTTCAGGACCTCAGCACACAAAAATAAAGATCTCTATAAATAAAGTCAAAGGAAGATGAGGATGATCCTAGCAACATATGTGACACCATGCTTATTTTCCTGTGTACAATGGATGTTAAGAAGAAAAGGACAAAGCTCATGAAGAGAGGTACTAAAGGAAATAGAAATGGTCAATTAATATAATGTGCTTCACATCGTCATTAAATTCACACAAAGTAAAAAAGTAATAATAGCAACAATTCCTGAAAAAGTGGTAATGAGCCAGGTGCCAGTGGCTCACGCCTGTAATCCTTAGCCACTCAGGTGGCAGAGATCAGGAGTATTGTGGTTCGAGGCTAGCCTGGACAAATAGTTCACATGGGTGTGGCAGAACATGCTCATAATATGAGCACTGGGGAGGCTGAGACTGGAGGATCAGAGTTGGAGGCCAGTCTGGGCTACATACCAGACTATGAAAGAAGGGAGGGAGTGAGGCCCACACTTCAGTGCAGTGCTTTTTCTGACAAATGAATCTCTAGTTTATCAACTTTATTTTTTGTTTATTTTTATGTGTGTGGTTCTGGGGTTTAGAACGGAGAGCCTTGCGCTTGCTAGGCAGCTAGGCAGGCACCCTACCACTTGAGCTACTCCGAGCCCTTTCAATGAACCCTAGTTTGAATCCCACTTCTTGAACTTACTGGTTCTGTAATCTTGACTAAGCCACCTCTCGTGCCCTTCTCCTCATTTATGAACTTGAAGAGGAGATACCTCAAATATTTCAAATCAGGTAGTGTGAAGTTAAATGAGTGTCATTTAGAAATGAGTGGTTACTGGTAAGCACTCCAGAAGTAATAACCCTGTCATTATCAAGGGATAAATAGTAGCATGGTGTTGAACTTGAGGCTCCTGTGGACCGTGACACCTGAAGGTGTGAGACTCGGAGCTGTCCACATGTAGGCAAGCCTGAGCAGTCAGCCCGCACAGGGCAGCACAGCGCAGTGGGACGCAGCAGTGTGGCTTTTGGTAGCCAGAGGCAGGTTGATAGGATGGAGAAGGACGAGTTCTGACGCTTGAAAAGAGAGCAGCCTCGAAGCTTCTGCTGATGTCCTGGTTAAGGTCAGGGTAGAGTGATGCATCCCTGCAATCCCAGGCTGCCATCGTAAGCCCATGTCTTCTCTGTGTCTCCCCTTCTTCACCCTACTGTTTCACCTCCTCTGTACAGAGGTCCCAGTTTCCCCTTGGGAACATTTTGCAAAACTGTAGTACTATGTATACCACAGGACAATATTAACCTTGACACCATCCTGCTGAAAACATTTCTATATCCACAAGAATTCCTCAGAGCCTGGTACCAGTGGCTCACGCCTATAATCCTAGCAAAGATCAGGAGGATCGCGGTTCAAAGCCAACTCTGGGCAAATAGTTCATGAGACCCTATCTCGAAAATATCCGTCACATTAAAAAGGGCTGGCAGAGTGGCTCAAGCAGTAAAAGCACCTCCCTAGCAAGCACGAGGCCTTGAGTTCAAACCCTAGTGCGACCAAAAAAAAAAAAAGGATCCCTCAGGTTGCCTTTTGGTAGTCACCTCCTTCTGCTTCCCCTCCCCTGCCATTGCAAATCTGTTCTTCATTGCTATAATTTCCAAGAATATTATATCACAGGAATCACACACTATGTAACCTTTATGGATTGACCTTCATCTCTGAGCATAATTCACCCAACTTATTGTATTTGTCAGTAGTTCATTGCTTTTCCATCATTGTTTTGAGACAGGATCTCACTCTGCCCAGGCTGACCTTGAATTCAAGACCCTCCTGCCAGGGCCTCCTGAGTGCTAGAATTACAGGCATGTACCACCATGACCACTACTATGGTTCATATTCATGTGACTGAGAGGATTTCCACAGTAGGAATACACCCCAGGGTGTGTATTCAATCACTGAAGGACACCTGGATCATTGCTAGTTTTTCTTACTATTGGGAGTAAAGCTGCAGTGCACTTGAATGTGCAGGTTTTTATGTGAACCTAGGTTTTCATTTCGCTGAAATAAATGTCCGGGGCTATGTGGTAGTGACATGTTTTGTTTTTAAAGAAGCTGCTCTTTCAACTCTAACATTCCCATCAACAATGTACGAGTGATCCAGTTTCCCCATATTCTCACCAGCACTTGGTGTTGTGACTATTTTTTATTTCAGTCATCCTGACAGGTATATAGTGACATGATGGTTTTAATTTACGTTTCCTAATCTTTAGCATCCTCTTAACAGCTAAAGCTGTTCGTTTTGATGAGGGCCATATATCACTCTCTCCTTAAGGATTCTACCTTTGATATCAAGTATAGGAACTCTTTGTTTTGTTTTGTGCTTTTGTGTTTTACTTTTAAGCCCATGATACATTTTTAGTTCATTTGTGTATAAAGGATGAGACAGGTCATGGTTATTTCTGTCTTTTTACCTACCTCCATCCTTCCTTTCCTCTCTCCCTCCCTCCCGTCTTGCTTAAGAAGTCCAGCTGGTTCAGCACCATTTGTTGAGAAGGTTTTGCTTTCTCCACTGAGTTGCTTTTGTGCTCTTATCAACAATCAGATGTTCGACTTTACCTAGATCTACTTCTGGGCTCCCTGTTCTCTTGCGTCAGTTTGCATGCCTGTCTCTACCAACACCGCCATTGAGTTCTGTACCAATACAATACATCTTGAAATTGGGTAGACTCATTTTTCCCACTTTATGGTTCTTTTCTAAAACTGGTTTTGCTATTCTAGTTTTTTGTCCTTTACATTTGGAATAATCTTGCCTGTATCTACAAAAAAAAAATCTTCCTGGGATTTTGATGGGAATTGTGTTATCCTTCTATCAACTTGGAAGATTGCTGCCTCTATTGAGTCTTACTATACATAAACATGGTGTCTGTCCATTTATTTAAATCTTTGATTTCATTCATCAGCGATTTGTAGTTTTTCACATACAAGTCTTACATGTTTTGTTACATTTATACCTATGTATTTCATTTTTGAGTGACCGTAAATGTATTTTGGGGGCAGAGCAGTACTGTAGTTTGAATTCAGGGCGTCACACTTGCTAGTCAGGCACTCTACCACTTGGGCTACTAGGCCAGCTAATTTCAATGTCTGCATGTTCATTGCTAATATATAGAATTACACTTGGGTTTTTTGTGTGCTTATCTTGTAGGCTTATGGCTTATGACCTTGTCAAACTCGTTTGTTAGTTCTCTGAGGTTGTTTTTTTTTTTTTAATAGATTCCTTGGGATTCTCTACCTTCTAATCATGTCATCTGCAAACATGGACAGTTTTGTTTCTCTCCTGTCTTTTACCTTTATTTTCTTTCCTGATTCATTGTACCTCTGAATGCTTCCGATGCTATGTTATAGAGAGAGCAGACTTCTTTGCCTTGTTCCCAGTCTTAGGGAAAAAGCATCCACTCTTCCTCACCATAAAGTACAACAGTGATCTATGTGTAGTGGGTTTTTTGTTGTTGTTTTTGGTTTTGGGGGATTTTTTTGTTTCTATGGTGGGGATTGAACTCAGAGTCTCCAGCTTTCCCTGAAAGTGCTGTACCACTTGAGCCATGCCCTCAATCCTGTTAGTCTTTTATAAATGCTGTTTAGCTGTAGAAAAGGAACATTTGAGAAATTTGATGAACCAGGTAATATCACTACTGTGAATAGATTCAGACTACGGTAGTTTGCTAGGTGCTGTGTGTGAGTAGTGGAAATCATAGAATTTGAAGTTCATTTCCAGGTGGAAGGCCTGGGGCAAATTACTTACACAGCTGAAAGCCTATTTTCTCCTCCTCCAAAGGGAAGACTAGACCCAATCCTAGTGGATTTGTCAGCGTTGTATCAGTGGCCCATTCAAGCGGAGGAGCTGGAAAAGACAGAATTTTACCCTGCGTTGCTTTGATTCCACCCAGCACTTTAATTGACCTGTGGAAATTTAGACAAATTCTGATGGCTCTTTAGAATTTGCACTGGGGTCTTTAAAAGACTAAGTGGTCCAGAATACTTGCAGTATCAAGGACTTGAAGGTAGACTCTCTGGGTTGTGACCTGGCATCTCCGCCATCTCCGAAGCCTGAGCAAATGCCACAGCCCCTTGAGGGCCAAATGAATCCTACACATACCATGCTTAGTTAGCAGTGCCTGACACATTAGCTGTGCCCATGTGTGAGTTAAGATTGGTACTATTGGTAGCTATAAGAGGACACATTCTTATTTGTGAATCACCTTTCTTAAAAATAAAATTGTTTACTTTGCAGATTTTTAAAAAAATGGATTTGACCAACCATGGACTTATTCTACTGCAGCAGTTAAACGCTCAGCGAGAGTTTGGTTTCCTGTGTGACTGCACGGTTGCAATCGGCGATGTGTACTTCAAGGCACACAAATCAGTTCTTGCTTCATTCTCCAATTACTTTAAGATGTTGTTTGTCCATCAGACCAGGTAACTAAAGTGGGTGATAATACCTAATGACTGTCGAATTCTTCCCCCCCTAGCCCCGGGTCCCTCTTCCCCCAACCCACTCTTTGCCTTCATCCACCCATAAGTCTCTCTGCCTCCACCTAGGCTCCTAGGTGCCCAGTTCCCTTGTGACCAAACCTGTCCTCTACCTTTGGCCTCTTGGTTTCTCATGCCTTCAGTAGCACTTGAGAATCACCAGACTTGCCTGCAATGCACAGCCCCTCCTGCTCCAGATTGCCTCGCTGGGTGTCACTTACGTGGATGGGATTGGCAGGAGCGGTCCTTTACAGACTCAGCCACAGACCTCCAGGGCCTCCTGTCAGTAAAGCGTGGATCCGCCTTTGCTCCTGCAGCCCCGGTCCCCGAGTAACCTGCTGACTTTCAATACTTGTCCTTGTCTCCTCCTCTAATGAGAAGCTTGAGGACACAGATTCCCCCAGTTTCCCTCTTTTCTGTACTAAGACACTTGCTCATCCATCTACCCTCAGTGTCTTAGAGACAAGAGCCTCCTGGGGTCTAAGGAAATGATGTGCCTCCCCCTCACAGCTCTCAATTTTTATTTTGCACTCTATTTTATACTTTTCATCCTTCCTTCCCTCACCCCAAGCCCTACACCCGCTAAGACAATGGGGACTTCCTTGACTTTGTCACTGCCCTAAGGCTCTATTCTCTATTTTACTATGGAAGCTCTTACACCTCTGTCCCTGTGTGCACTCTCCTCATCCCACATTCTTCCTGTCCATTTGCACTGTGGTTTACCCCCAGCACTCCACTGCAGACCTGTCTCCAAGGTCACCCTCCCCAAACCACTGCCTTCTCAGGCTCACCCTGTCCTTGCAGCACTTGCTGCTGTGTGCTTCCTGCTGCAGCAGCTGTCACCCACACTGGAACTGGCCGCCTCACTCTTCTGCCCTCTGCCCTGGACCTCCTGAGCTCTGGTCTCAAGCCCTCTTCACTCTCCTCGCACACTCCTGTGGAGGCCCATCTTCTGCGGAGGTCTTGCCTTTGTTGCTGGAAACTTGCATTTATAGTTCTGGCCTCCATCTTTCTGTCTCCAGAGCCTTGTTCCTGAGCCCCCAGGCTGCCTGCTGGTCATTTGAGCTGGCCCCTGCTTCACTGTTTATTTCATCAGGCACAGTCACAAGCCTTTTCCCTGATGGCCCCCTATTTTCTTCTCTTCCCAGCTGAAATTCTCTTACAAATCATTTTTTATCACTCCTCAGATCATATTTTCTTTAGAATACCTTTCACATTTGTCCTTTTCTCCTTTCTCCCATTTTCTAATCATTTATTTCCACATCACAGTTTGATTAATATTCCTCCATGCTTTGATCATAGCGTGCCTTTGATCAGAATCCAAAAGAACACTCACTACAATACCGCAGTGATTCTCATGCCCTTCATTCTGTCATTCAGGGCCCCACAGGCTTGGAGCCTGACCCTCTAGCCTCATTGCCTGGATCCCTCTGGAACACCCCGCCCAGTTCAGCTTGACCTTGCTGCCTTGTGGCTTTCTTACCTGATCTACCCCTTGCTGGTGTTCTGCCCATTCCCTAAGTCTCAGTTCTCACAGCCCTCTGCTTGCCCCTTCTGTAGTCAAGTGGACAGAGTAATTAAAAGTGAGCCCTTCTTTTCTCACGGGTCACAGCACTTTATTTGTGTCACTTAAAAGAGCTCTACGTTTTCCCCAAATTGTTATTTGTTTGCTTACCTTCCCTCCTTGTTTGTAAGTTTCTTGAGAGCAGAAACTAGGTTTTACAAGTATTTGTGGACCCCACAAGAGTATATCTGAGGCGTGTGTGTATGATAGAAAAGCCACTTGATAAACATCTGGAGGAACAGAGGGGACAGTGATGGGATTTCAGCCTTAATGGCAAGGACAGGTTTTTGTCCTGCAGCACTAAGAATGCACCCTTTAAACTGGTTGGGAGGCAGAAGCAGGAGGATCACAAGTTGGAGGCCCATCTGGGCTGCCTAGCAAGACTGTGTCAAAAAAATGCACCCTTTATCTTCATTGTGTTAGAGCTTTGTACTTAGTCTCAGTACAGTAAATTAAATAACTCTATAAAGGAAAAGATTCTAATTTTAGGAATAAAAGAAAAGAATCTAATGGACTTTTGTTAATTAGAAACTCCGCTTAAATGTAAGGGCGTGAATGAATGTCTTTGTAACAAGGGAAGGGGTCTTTACCAGTAGTAATGCACCAAAGGTGGCACGGGCCACTTGGGCAGCCTCCTGGTGGCCAGCATTGTGCACATCCACATGCAGGACTCAAGCTCACTGAGGCAAACACTGGCCGGAGAGTGGGGGCATGTTTTTAAGCGAGAACACAGCCATGTCTGAGACAGAGAGCAGGACTGGAATCTTCAAGTTTAGTTAGATGGTATTTTATGTCCTGTAGTTACCACTAGATGGCTCTACCTTTTGTCTCAGACTTTTAGCTCCCAAAAATAAAAGCACTAAAGGATAGAGAGGCCTTGCTCAGCATTATCTTAAAATTCTAGAGAAGGAAAAATTGAACCTGAGAATTATACGGAAGGACTTGTATGTGCACTAATACTTTTTTCACTTTTTCTTGCATAAAAGTGTTCTGTCAAGCAGATATGTGCAGATAACATTTGATGGAATGACTCTGGGAAGTGCCCAGAGTCCTGCCCCCACTGAGCTGAGAGGTTAAGAGAGGAGGCCAAGCTGCTGGGGAGTAAAAGCAGTCAAGGGTGGTGGTGACTGGAATGTGATGGAAGGAACTTTAAAAACTCCACCTATTTTTCTAAATGTGTATGTACACATATGCTTCTGCTTTTTAAAAAAAAATTTTGTTAATTTTTTTAAATAAACAAACCAAAATAAATTGGTGCCTGGAGTCCTCCCTGGGCTCTAGGGCACTGGCTGTGACCTAGGAACTTAACTGCTTTCCTCCCCATGGGCTTAGCCAATTCTGCCTGGTTTGAGAGCCCTTCTCTTCCCAGGCCTAGCAAAAGTGTGGAATGTGGACTCCATAGCTCCTTCCTGTCTTTTCCATCAGGAACTGTACCTAAGTTATCTAAAAACTTTGAGAGGTATATTGTCAAGTAAGTTCACAAGCAATAGACAGGACAACCTATCCCGTGGGAGAATTACAAAACCCACATGAAGGATTTTCTGCTAGGTAGGCCTTTTCATGGATGCTAAGAAACAAAGCCACCTTTGGATTCCTCCCTTCCCCTTAGGCAGGGAGGGGAGAAGAGTAGGGGGCTCCCTAATTCTCCCTCCTTTTCTCCTGAGGACCAGGTCCCCCTGAGGACCACAGGTCCTATGGACCTGCTAGTCTGGGGTAATTTGCATCTCTGAAGGCCTAGAGTTTCCCAGGCCTCTTCCAGAGCCTGGGGGTCTGGCAGTCCCTTCTTCACCTGGAGTTGATTATTTACATTACTGAAGTCCTCTTCCCCACACGGAATCCCTGAAGCTTTGTTCTGACTATTGGATTCCCCCACAGTATCTAAACGTGTTATATACCACTCATAGTATTGATGGAACTCATCTTGTGCTGAAAAGAAAAACCACCTGTATTTGCATTCCCATTGCAGGGGTGTAAGTGACCTAAGGGAATATAAAAGACTCCAAGGAAAGACAGGAGCAGCTGTGCCTTTTTTTAAAAGAAATGGAAATAGTTATCCTCTTCCCTTTGTTCTGTTACTCTTGCTTTTCACTCTTTAGCCTCCATATTTCCATAGTCAAACAACATTTTCCTGGTGATTGATTTGTGTTTGTATACCTTCTTCACTGTTAAAATTGCTGTGTTCTTTTCCTTTTTTTTCCTGGTGGCACTGGGGCTTGAACTCAGGGCCTTGCACCTGCTAGGCAGGCACTCTTCCATTCCAGTCACACCTCCAGCCCTTTTTTTTTTTATTTTGTCTTTAGTTTCTCACAACTGTCCTTTTTATAAAATAGATTAAAATGTTAAATTTAGAAGAATACGATATGCTGTTAGTATTTTATTAGATTGAGAAATACCTGTTTAAACAATGAAGGGGAACAACCAAAGAGAGTTACAGTACCAAGAAGTTGTATAATTAAAAGATTATTATAAATTCTACAGCAATTCAAGGATGCTGTCTAAAAATGCATTGTCTCTGGAAGGTTTGCGCTCTGGGTGATGACATGTGCCTCACCATGTGTAGCTACATATCTTTGGTTTCCAGTGATGCATTAGAACTCCTGTCGTTACTGCTGGTCTGCAGAGTCCGTTCCTTCTGGTACTGGTGCTTGCTCAGGATGACCATGTTTCTGAAGAGTCTAAAAGCTAGAAAACTAGCTGTGCCACCTAGCACACTAGGTGCCTCTGATAAATCACTTAGCCTTTAGGACCTCCAGTTCCCTACTGTCAAATGGGAATCACCAACCATTAGCTCCCTTGTATCTCCCGCACAGGGTGCTTGTACTGCCCTGAAGGATCTTGGTATGGCCTAGATTCAAATCCCACTCCCACCACTCACCAGCTCTGTATTGAGCAAGGCATTGCACCTCTGAGCCTTGACCCTACGTGTAAAATTGGTGGGTTGGTGGCAGTTAGATGGCAGAGTGGCTGTATAGCTCCACGGCAGATGATACCGATGAGTGTGCTGTCCCCAGCTAGCAGCACCAGGACCGTGGCAGGCCTTGCCTGTTCTCCCCACCTCTTGCCATGCCTCAGCCTTCATGCTGAAGAGAGTCGCATAGCTCCGGGAGCTGTGTGCACAGTTTTGGCATGGTGCTCTTAGACACCATTATGCTAGCCAGCTACCCTGTGTCATCTTCTAGATGAAGACCTCTAGTCAGATAGGTTGTTTGACTTACCTTAAAAGATTTGTTGACCTCTGGATTGGATCAGTAAAGACCCAGGCTTTTAACTCAAAGCTTGGCCTGGCCAGTGAATCCAGCAGTCAGAAACAAGAGATGTTCTTGTTTCATTTGTTTTCCAGGGTCCAATTTTTTTCTTTTTCAGGCTTTTGTCGTTTGAGACATAGATTGATGTTCACTCACAGGTTTTTTTTGCTCATTTCTTCCAGCGAGTGTGTCCGTTTGAAGCCCACTGACATCCAGCCCGATATTTTCAGCTATCTCCTGCACCTGATGTACACAGGCAAGATGGCACCGCAACTGATCGATCCTGTCCGATTGGAGCAAGGGATCAAGTTTCTGCATGCATACCCGCTAATCCAGGAAGCCAGCCTCGCCAGCCAGGGCACCTTCTCCCATCCTGACCAAGTCTTCCCTCTGGCCTCTTCCTTGTACGGCATTCAGATCGCAGATCACCAGTTGAGACAAGCCACCAAGATGGCCTCAGCACCTGACAAACTTGGGCGGGAACCCAGGCCACAGGCCTCCAGGATGAGCCAGGAACAGGTGCCAGAGGCCTCGCAGCTGTCCCAGCTGACTCCAAACCTGGCCCAGGTGAATCGGACAAATCTGACCCCCGCAGACCCCCTGCAGACTTCGTTGTCTCCCGAACTCGTCTCCACTCCCGTTCCTCCCCCACCTCCCGGGGAGGAGACCAACCTAGAGGCCTCCTCCTCTGACGAGCAGCCTGCAACCCTCACCATCGCCCATGTCAAGCCGAGCATCATGAAGAGGAATGGAAGCTTTCCCAAGTACTATGCTTGCCACCTGTGCGGACGGCGCTTCACCCTGCGGAGCAGCTTGCGGGAACACCTGCAGATCCACACAGGAGTCCCTTTCCCCTCCAGCCAGCAGGGAGAGAACCGCGTGCCCCTGTCTCTCTGCAGCAATGCAGCCGACCTGGGCAAAGATGCCATGGAAGTGCCTGAAGCCGGCATGATCAGCGACAGCGAGCTGCAGCACATCTCAGACTCCCCAATCATAGACGGGCAGCAGCAGTCGGAAACCCCGCCCCCCTCGGACATTGCTGACATTGACAACCTGGAGCAGGCGGACCAGGAGAGGGAGGTGAAGCGGCGGAAGTACGAGTGCACAATTTGTGGACGCAAATTCATCCAGAAAAGCCACTGGAGGGAGCACATGTACATCCACACCGGCAAGCCTTTCAAATGCAGCACTTGTGACAAGAGCTTCTGCAGGGCCAACCAGGCCGCCCGCCATGTGTGCCTCAACCAGAGCATCGACACCTACACCGTGGTGGACAAACAGACTCTGGAACTCTGCACATTCGAGGAAGGAAGTCAGATGGACAACATGTTGGTGCAAACCAACAAACCTTACAAATGCAACTTGTGTGACAAAACCTTCTCCACCCCCAGCGAGGTTGTCAAACATTCATGCCAAAACCAAAACTCGGACGTTTTCGCCCTAGACGAGGGCCGGTCCATCCTCCTGGGCAGTGGGACTCAGAAGTCACGGGACCTGACCATCCGGTGTTAGCTTCCATCAAAAAGGAACAGGAAACTGTGTTACTAGACTGAATGTTACTTGTCTTTTTAAAAACTGTCATTTTTACAAAAATGCTCTCCCTTCTCCAATTCAAAACCGTAGTTCTCTGTGGCATGACACAAACAGGGCCCTGTTCCCTTCTCCTCTTCCCTTCTCCCCAGCCCCACTTCTGTAAAGGCCTTGTGCGTTATAAACCTGGAATCTATTTACATTAATTCAGGGCTGTTGGAAAGATAATGGTCAGTAGTACTTATAAACTTAATAGGTTTTGAGAAGTTTTAAGAGTATTTAAAAGCATACTTGGAACTAATTAAGGGTATATAACAAAACAAAACAACTAGAATATAATTTGATAAGCTAAAATTATGACTTTCCCTGGGTAATAAGTCTTCCTTGTCAGAAAAACAATGTCAGAAAATACAGCATGTTTCTTAGAGAGAAAGCTGGGCTCTGTACTATGCAAAAATCTAGAAAGTGTGGGGAAACTTTAAACCCAAGAAAATGTTTTTAGTATTTATCCTCAAGGTGTCTTATTTCAGAATGTATCCTTTGAGATTATGTGCAGTTAAGAAAAATCACTAGGTAAGAAAGCTACTGTAACAAAACACAGAAGAGACAAAGTGATAATGTGACGGCAATCTTAATTTTGGGTAACCACAACAAGCTGTGAGCTTGTGTGTGCGAGAGGAAGCGTGGATACCTGCTGTAAACAGGTGAGTCAGTGCGCATGCCTTATCTAACTGCTGGCTTCTTTCCAGGTTCAACAACAAGATGCTGTGTTTTAGTTTCTGACAAGTGTGTTGTTTCAAAAACTCAGACTTACAAATACTATTCTGTAGATTGTCTTTCTGAGCAGAAAATGATGTGCTGTTCTCTAGCAGGTGCCAGTGGTAAACTTGTTTTCATACCACCCAGCTGTCCTTAAATCAGTGTGTGTCACAGGGAGAGGACTAGAGGAGCGTGCATCCTACATTGGAAGTTGTGAGAAGATGTAACTCCAGTGACTGTAAGTCAGTGCTGATAGTTCACTAGCACCATGCATTGAAGCATCAAAATGACAACGAGAAATCAGGACAAAAAAATCTAATTGCTGTTTGGGGAAAAAGAAAAAGCTTGATTTTCATGTGTGTTCTTCAGTTTATTTTTTTTTTCAACACCTGAAATTTTCTCCACTGGCCTAAAAGCAGTAAAAGTTGTCCGTTAATCTTCCCTTAGGCCAATAAGAGAAGGGTGTTACAGGACAAAGTAGGAGCCAGAAGTAAGGACTGAAGGGGAAAGGGAAGGGGAGAATAGTTATAGCTATACAGTATGTATATGTTAAAACCTGAATATCCTGTCATCCTATTGTATGTATAGTTGAGTTCTCAGATTTGTAAGTTTTTATACATCCTTTCATTGAATAAACATTCAATTAAATGGCATGTGATTTTTATCTGTATATTTGTTACTCAAATGGATGCTGGAAAGGGGAATGGAGAGCATTGCGTTAGGGGTCATTTTCTGGCTCTATCATCTGTCTGGTGGAATTCGGGCGATTCCAGTCCTAAGTGGAGGATTCCACATCGTCAACTGAATGAGTCGGTGAGTGATTGCATTGGGCTATGAAATTGCAGGAATCAAATGAGTGGGCTCTGTGAAGATGCTGGGAGCAGTCAAAGGTTGACCAGGGATGGGCGGAAACACCATCTTAACAACTTTCTGTACAGAAGGAAAAGGCCAGGAAGTGCTTGCCTAAAGATGTCACATAATAAAAAGAGCCTTATACCAAGCTAACGTCCCTATCTGAAAGAGTAATTCAGGTTACGCCCTGCACATGACCCCTGTGAAGCCACAAAAGGATTCAAGATGCAGCTAAAAGGCAGGGTACTGGAGACCAGAAAATCCCAGGAATCACAAGTGCAAGGCTGAGGGCAAGATGTCAGTCATGCCTAGTACAGCTCGATAGTTGGCAGAGCGGGAAGAGCAGGCACTGTGTGCATCTATTAGTCCTTTGTGGTAAGCAGTGACTTTTAGCACCAGCTTGTGGCCACCTTCACAGAAGCAGGCCTGCAAAAACTCCATCTCCCTCCCAAAATGAAGAAAAGAGCTCAGTAGACACCCCAAAGCCCACCCTATCTCTGAATGCTCACTGCCTATTCCAACCCCTATAGGTTATAAATTTAACCATCTATTCTGAGCTTTTGATGGTACCCATTTTTAAAAGCTTTGGAAATCACTGCAGTGGCATAATTAATGTGAACACGTACACTTCAAAATTAATTTGAACTGTCATTCTAGGTCTACCTCTTACTAATATTACCAGTGCTATTACTTTTCCTTCACAGGGAAACCAATAAAGAGGTACTCACTTTTTTGTGGCATATTTCTAAAGAGCAGATTTTGGAAAGCACTGTAGGGTTTTACTTGTAGGAATGAGGCTTTAGCAGGGAGAAAGCTTTGCTGTTCAAAAGTAGCTGTGGATGATATAAAGTAATGAGGCAGAATGGAGTCCATTCACCTTGCAAGAAAGGGAAAGAGCTGAGACATCCAAAATAAGCACCAAGCTGGGCACAGTGGTGTGTGCTCGCAGTATCAGCATTTGGGAAATAAACAGGAGAACTGAAAGTTCTTGGCCGGCCTGAGACCCTGTCTCAAAAACAAAAACAAAACAAAACCTAATGAGCCAAGCTGCTATTCTCTGGAAAATGAACAATACCTGCCTTGACAAAATTCCCATCATGAAGATGGCCCTTGTGAAGATCCACTGTCACCTGGAATTCAACTGGGGGAAGCGAGATCCTGGATTTGGTGTCTGCCTGCCAGGTAAATTTACTTCTTCCCAACAATCCTGACAGACATATCTCCCAGGAGACATGAGAGAAAACAGGCCCAGAGAGGCTAGGCAACTTTTCTACCCAGGCAAATAGACAGCTAGGATTCAAACCCCAATGTGGCTTACTCAAAAAAAGCAGTGTTCTTTCTATTTAACACCCAAACATAGGAAGTTAGGAAGTCTGACCGGCACTTTCAATTGACAAACCTGTGTCTTGCAATTGACAATTGTGTGTGTGCGTTACTCAGTATTGAACCTAGGGTCTGGCATATACTAGGCAAGTATCACAAGAACCATGCCCCCAGCATGAGTTTGTTTGTATTTTGTTTTTTAGATAGGGTTTCTGTAACTTAGCTCATTCTAGCTTCCAACTCCCCATCCTCCTGTCTTCACCTCCCAAGTAGCTGAGATTATAGGCATGTGCCACCTGCCAGCAACAATTAACAAATCTTTGATTCAACAACAAAGGAAAGGAAGAAACGAGTAGAAAGCATGGCTTTTCTTGCTAATCCAGTCTATTTTTGTGGCACTCTACAGCTCGAACACCACCACCAGCCATTTTTTACTTTACTTATTTATTTTTTGGTGGTACTGGGGTTTGAACTGGCCTCACACCTGCTACACAGGCACTTGAGCCACTCTGCCAGCCATTTTTGTGTAGGGTATTTTCTAGATAGGGTCTCAGGAACTATTTGCCCAGGGCTGGCTTTGAACCACGATCCTCCTGATCTCTGCCTCATGAGTAGCTAAGATTACAGGTGTGAGCTACCTGCTCCAGGCCATTTTTTGCTTCAGTTATTTTTTGGATAGGGTCTCACATTTTTGCTGCGGCCAGCCTCAGACTGTGGTCCTCCTACCCATGGCTCCCCATAGCTGGAATTATAGACATGATCCACACCCACTCCCTTTCCTCCTTTAAATTAACTCAGGTAATTGTGTGTGTGTGTGTGTGTGTGTGTGTGTGTGTGTGTGTGTGTGTGTGTTTAGCTCTACACCTAGATTTGTCCAAATTATAAAGCAAGAAAACACTATTTGCCCAAATATGCAAGCATTTCTGTGAGCTAGACATATTGGAGGGAAGAAAAGGGGAAGGGAAACTTTTTCACCTATTAATCTACTTATTCTGCTATTGAGGCAATTCCCTTGAGGCCACAGTAACCTTAAACTTCAGTGCCACCCAAACTGGAGGGCTTGATGAAGCCCGGCGCCAGCCCTGGTCCCGGGGGAAGAGTCTGATTCAGTCCCAGTCAGGTGGTGCCCAAGGCTTTCTAATAGATTCCCCAATGGTGTGGATGCGAGGAGCCCCACTTTGAGAACCATAGAATTGCTATATCATTTCTGCTACAAAATTACTGTCCTTTCTTGGATCTACTTGCTCCTTAGAATAAAACCCAGAGAGACACACTGATAAAGGGATGGGAAGGGCCCATTCCATTGCTACCATGCTTCTTTCTTTGTGACACAGAGCTCCACAATAAGACACGTGCAATGTACACTTCTGTACCTGCACCTCAGAGGAAGTGTGTGGTTGAAAGGCTCTGGAATTTATTCCAATCTCCTCATTCCAAATGTCCTTGTAATCTGTGAGCACAGAAAAAGAAAGAGCTAGGGGCATCAAGGGGTAGAGCGCATACAGAACAAGCACTAGGACCTGAGCTCAAACCCCAGTAACGAGAGAAGAGAGAGGGAGGGAAGGGGAGAGGACAGGAGGGATAAGAAAAGAAAGAGAAAGTCGGGGCTTACACACCTGTAATCCTAGCCACTCAGGAGGCAGAGATCAGGAGGATCACAGTTCAAAGCCAACCCCAGGCAAATAGCTCTCAAGACCCTATCTTAAAAACCCTTCATAAAAAAGGGCTGGCAGAGTGGCCCAAGGTGTAGACCATGAATTCAAACCCTAGTACCGCAAAAAGAAAAGTTAAAAAAAAAATTTAATTTCTCTTTTCAGTTGGAGATGCCCCAAAGCAGACAAAGGTCACAGGCAGAGAACTAGGAGCCTGCATGACACTTGGTCTGTGGAGACCTGGGGTGCCCACAAGATTCTGCAGGTTTGGCTTGTTCCTGCCCATGATGTGCCTCCCACCCTAGGGAGATGCCCTAGCTGGCCACCACTGCCGAGAAGGCAACCAGGCAAGGAGGAAAGAAAACGGCAGGTGACACAGTGTGTCTGAACACCGTATGTATTGCACAGTTGCAAGGAAGATCAGTGCCATTATTCTGCATCTTCCAGAATGTTTGTAGAGACAGCAGCAGTTTATCAGCCAACAAAGTGCTTCAGTGTGCAGTTCATCCAGATGTCTTTCCTTCTAATTACTAATACATTTCAGTGCATTTCGTTATAGGACAACTTGGGAAGTATTTATACATCTTGAGATAAGGAGCCGGCGGAGACAGGATAAGTGTATTTTAAAGCCTTGTTTTTTTCAGTCACCAAGCCAAAGTTTGTGTATGAGACTTCAAGAAACTTTGTAAGGGCCCAGAGGCTCACACCTTAATCCTAGATACTTGGAGACTGAAATCAGGAGGATCTCAGTTTGAGGCCAGCCTGGAGCACCTGCTTTGCCAGCATAAAGCCCTCAGTTCAAATCCCAGACCCACCAAAAAAAAAAAACAAGCCAGGTGCTCACACCTGTAATCCTAACTATTCCCTCAGGAGGCAGCAATCAAGAGGGTCATAGTTTGAAGCCTGGGCAAATACTCGCAAGACTACCCCCCACCGCCCCAAAACAAAAGGAAAAAAAAGAAACTTTGTAAGGAGCCGAGAGTGTGGCACACACCTCTAATCCCGGCTACTTGGGAAGGTAAGGCAGTAGGATCCCAAGTTCGAGACATGTCTGGGCAACTTACTGAGCGCAAGCTCAAAATTAAAAAATTACTGGGTGTAGCTCCCTGGTAGAGCACTTGCCTGGCATGTGTGAGCCTTGGGTTTAGTCCTCACATCCCTTCCGCTGCACACAGAAAAAGAAAGTTCGCAAGGATCTGTGCAGTTATTTTCCATCTCCATGACAGCGCTCTTCATGTCCCTCCAGTTCAAATTCTCTTCTGGTTATATTCAGCTGTCAACATTTTGCATTCACCCCTGGATATCTCAAGTTGAGCCTTTCTTTTTTTTTCCCCGGCAGTACTGACTGGGGTTTGAACTCAGGGCCTCACACTTGCTAGGCAGGTGCTCTACCACTTGATCCAGCCTTTTTTGTTTTGGGTATTTTCATGATAGGGTCTTTCAAACCTCATGTTTTCTGCCTCCCAAGTAGCTGAGATAACAGGTGTGCACCACCAGCACCCAGCTGAGCCTTTTCAAAACTATTCTCTCAGCCAGGTGTGGTGGCTCTAAGATCAGGAGAATTGCAGTTCAAGACCAATGGGGTGGGGGGGGGCAGATTTTGGGAGACTCCATACAAACAGAAAAAAAAGCTGGGTGTGGTGGCACGGGCCTGTCATCCCAGCCACAGTGATAAGTGTAAAACAGGAGAATGGGGATTCAGGATAGCCTGAACAAAGAATGAGACCCTATATTCAAATTAACCAGAGCAAAAAGAATTAGAGGTGTGGTTCAAGTAGTAAAGTGCCTACCTTGCAAGCATGAAGCCCTGAGTTCAAACCCCAGTCCTACCCAAAACAAACAAAAAACTGTCTCCCACACCCCATGTAAGTGGCTCCAGCCAACTCAGAAACGTTGTTCAACCTGCACTGCTCCCAGGACAGATGGCTGCTGTCTGCTGAGAGCTCGTGGTCTTCCCCATGGTCCTCCAGCTCAGCTACTCACTTTACTAGAAGCCATGGCCAGCTCTGGCCCAAATCATTACAACAGCATGCAAGCCAAACTCCCCACCTCGTCCTGAAGTCCAAACACTGGGACCACGGGCATTTTGGGTAGAAACTCCTTTTCTTTGCAAGGCTGTCCTTGCAGGATGGCAAGTATCTGTGACCCCAACTCATAACATACCATTGGCCCCTGAGCCCTTGTGATGGGCGGCACACATAGAGGAACAGAGTGGCTAGTGTCACAGCCTCAGCTCCAGTGCCTGGAGAATCACTAAGACAAAGGACCCCTGCTCAGCCTCTTAATGACGTCACAGGATGAATCCCACTCCTGCAGAAGCCCTGGTCATCCGGGCACTATCACTTCTGGAACATCTTTAAACAGAACCCAGCTTTTTCCTCTAGGTTTCTAGTTCCAGGAACAAGGTAGGCCCCAAAAGTGAGCAGGGATAAACAGAATCAAACACAGCGTGTGTGTATGTGTGTGTGTGTTTTGGTGGTACTGGAGTTTGAACTCAGGGCTTTGCACTTCCTCAGCAGGCATTCTACCTCTTCAGACATGCTTCCAGCTTACAATGCTTTTTTTTTAAATTAGCCAAGTCTACAGTACTTCTGTGATACCAAATGATTTGGGATTGTTAGCACAAACAGAAGAAAAAGCATAGGGTGGAGTTAGCACGGGAGCTTTCCCCTCAGTACCCTGCAGGAGCTTCCTCCACGCTGCTCTCCAAACAGGTTACGCAGAAGCTCCTCTTAACTGAACCACCCCTGTCCTGCTCACAGTTAAGCAACCTCTCTCATCACTGTGGAATGCCAGTGAAGCTGTCTGTCGTGCTAAGCTGGAGGTGTGAGGTGTGACTATGAGAGCATTTTAAACAGTTAATGACACCACCAAAACCTGAGTCATCACTTAAAAGTCTCAGCTTGCTCAGATGAAAATTAGGGCAGATTATCCTAATTCCAATGACGGAAACTAGAGGTGGGGGAGGACGGTGGGGGTAAATTGGATTTGTATGAGAATTTTGCCAGGTGCACTGGGTTCCAGAGACCCATTGCTGGATTTGGATTACCTGATACTGGTTTTGTGTTCAGGTTCCAACCTCTTTCTATCCAGGAATCCTTGTATGTCTCCCATCTCCTTATCCCCAACCCGAGGTGGTGGTGGTGATATTTTTGAGACAGGGTCTCACTGTATAGTTCATACTGGCCTGAAATTTGTGATCCTCCTCCCTCAACCTCCCGAGTGCTGGGATTATAGGCATGAAAGACCATGCCTTTCTGGTGGAGTTGGAAAAAGGGATTATAACTCCAGTTCTGGTTATTGGCTGGCATTTCAGAGACGACTGTGACTCCCCAAAAATTACATAAAATTGTGTTTGTATTTAGAAACTCAGCCAGAAGTTTAATGAGAGTCTAACGAAGAGAGCCAGGACCCAAAAAATTAAGAATTACTGACAGAGACTTTTGTGAGTTCACCCCCATCCCAGATTCATTCATTCCACACTCTCGTGATGCTCTGCAGACAGCATCACGAAGGAAAGTAGTGAAAACCTATGCCAAATATTGCAACAGAGAAGAGCAAACACAACCAAATCCAGGCGGAATTACAGAAAGAAAATACATGGCATTTAATTAGACTGTATTTTATTTAATGAAAATTGGCCCCACAAACAACTAGGTATCAAATATTGTTCTCAGAGTAGAAGTAACTGCTATGCTTGAAGCTTATGCTGAAGCTAAAATCTCTAGCCCTATCTGTAGTCCCAAACATTAAAGAAAAATATTAGGACAAATTATCTCTGAGATTATTTGCCTTCTAGTATGCAGGGCTCCATAGTCATCATGCCAAAAAATTGCGAATTTGAGGCACTTTGCTCTGACTTCTGCAGTTCACATTTTACGTTCATATGGCTAACAGCAGTGTCAGACTTAGAAAACAGAAGTGTATTGAAGGCTACCGTTGGTGGTCATGTTAATAAAACAGTGTTGCTACACAGACCTGGATATAGAGGGATAAGGAAGCGATCCAGGGCACATTAGGTGGTGACTGTAAGAAAGCACAGCCAAGCAGCAGCTACCCACTGGAAAGCTGACAGTGATCTGACCGCCAGTCACTTGGTGGCCTGTGGGGAAAAAAGACAACAGCACACATTTAATCCATTCAAAGCAGCTTTGTCTCCCTGCTACACAGAGGAAGTTCGTGCACTGGACACCTTACAAATTGCTGTCAGCACCAATACTTTTTCTTCATCTTCAAAACTTGATACCAGCACTTGGATTTGTCTCAATTGGGAAAGTAAAAATGGAGGATTTTAATCTAGGGATGTTAATGTTTAATAATTGTGCACAGGTAAGCTGGGTATAGTGCTGCATGGCTGCACTGTAGTCCCAGCTACTCTGGAGGCCGAGATGGGAAGGATCACTGGAGCCCAGAAGTTCAAGACCAGCCTGGGCAACATAGCAAGAACTCCCTTACTCCGTCTCAAAAAGAAAAAAAAAAAAAAAAAAAAATGCATAGGTGCCTTACTATATATTTGTGAATAACTTCTAAAGAATATTAAATGTTTTCCAACTATGTAAGATCATATCGTGTCATGGGGTCAATTATTATACAGTCAGACTTGCTAATATAAGAGAAGCTGTGTTTGATTTCAACAGCAAATTTTCTTGATGCTAATAGTTTTTCAAGAATGTTATGCTTTAGCCAGGCACCGGTGGCTCATGCCTATAATCCTAGCTACTCAGGAGGCAGAGATCAGGAGGATCACAATTCGAAGCCAGCCAGGCAAATTGCTTGCAAAAAGGGCTAGTGGAGTAGCTCAAGGTGAAGGTCATGAGTTCAAGCCCCAGTACTGGGAAAAAAAAAAAATTCATTAATTGTCAAACATAAAATTCTTAAACTGGAGTACTGAGGTTGAGGCAAATTTAAGTGTATTGTCCAGGCCAGTTCTATATGTGAAAAGGTAAAACTTACAGTAGTTAGGTGACGGTCTGTTGTGTAATTTTGTCCAACAAAATCCTTTATGTATGAGCATGACTTACCATGTTGGCATTAAAAAAAATTTCCAAGATCTTTTAGGAAAAGCATTTGTAAGCCTTCTGAAAACTTCCTTCTAGAGACATCTGTCATAGTTTTAAAACAAAACTATAAACAGAAAACTGAGTTTTTCAGGAATTACCAGATGTAGGACTGCACCAAATTGTCAAGTCTGAAAAACTACTGTTTTATTTTAGCAAACGCGTCTCTGCCATGGTTTCCTTTAACCATCTGACTCAAACCAGTGTGAAGTGATGTCTCCATGTAGTTACTGAATTACAAGGTGCCAGCTTGTCTGTCGTCTTGTTGTCATTAGCTTACTCTAACAGAGTGAACACGGGTCCTCGGCTGCCTAGTAACTAATAAAATCAGTAAATCTAAGTGAAGCAAATGTTTTATTTAAATCAGCTGTCAAATCACAATTTATTCAAATGAACAAAATGCAACATTGCTCTTAAAAGAAGGGGCAACACATGTGACACAGACACAATCCAGTATCTATCAAAATACCATTTGGAAAGACCGGGATTCATTTTGTTCTCTGGGTGTGAATTCAGTCTAGCATATAAGAGTAGAATCAAAAACTTATAAATCAATTCTTCCAGCATAACATAAAAAACATTTTACTGCTCTGCGTTAAGAGTAACCTCCAAAGGACTAGAAAGAAAAGTCACAGTAACTAAGTGCATCATTCTCTCCATTTTAAAATGAGCTTTATTTTTTAACTCGCGGTGCAGAAGAAAGGGGCCAGTTTCAGAGTCCTACCACGCAAGAACCTAAGCATCAGTGAATTTCAAAAATAAGAATTGTACCTTCTTGTCAGCAATGCTATTTTCTCACACGTTGTCTTTATAAGTCAGGTTATAAGTGAGGCTTGGAGCTTCCCAAGGCTTCCCCATGGCTACAGGCCCATCATATATTGTGTGATACAAAGGACAGGTGCTATACTGCCTGTGGTCTTAGACATTAAAGAAAAAAATATACAATAGATACAGAAGAAGGGTTACTTAAAACATACATATAAATACATAAAGAATGATACTCCAGTTCGAGAAGTAGAGCTAGGTATTGCCAATGTCAGTTCCAGGCTAAGACTTCAGGATCTTAAATCAGGAAAATTATATGGTATCAAGAGAAATAATAGGTGGTCTTGAAAAAGGAAATGTTTAGCTGGCTCTCGCTCCTGATGAAGCCTCAGGATTGTCAGGGCACTCTAGAAGTGAGTTTGGTGGGTCTTCCTGCTCCAGCTCTCAGAGTTCTGTGACATTGGTCTTAGACTCTCATCAGCAGCGTTTTCTTCCTCGACTCGTCTTCACATTCTGGTCTTGCAAACGCCCAATGCGTGTACCTGTAGAAGGAAGTAAGGCAGAGTAAATGCAATCTCCTTTTTCTCCCTCATTTATGAACAAGTCAAACTACAGCCACCAGCAACCATCATCTAACACCATTAGAAAAAAGACAGTGATGTTGGGCTGTCACAAAACCAGTGGCTTCAGTGACACTTCCTGCCAGGCTCACGTGCATTGCAAAGTTAAAAATAAAAAAATACTTGTTAATACTCAAAGGAAAAAACTCCACTGTTTCCTAAAGAACTATAAATTTCAAACAGTGTGATAAAGACTTAGTTTGGGCTACTAGTAATTTAAAAAAAGAAAAAAAAAAACTAGTTGAAGTTGGCTCCTAGCTACTTGGGAAGCAGAGATCAGGCAGATCATGATTTGAAGATTTGACAGCCCTGGACTAATAGTTCCCAAGACCCTATCTTGAAAATACTAAGCACAAAAACAGGACTGGTGAAACAGTAGAGCCACTGCCTAGCAAGAGTGACACCCTGAGTTCAAGCCCAAATACTTCCCCCGCCAAAAAAAAAAAAAACCTAGTTGAAATGGTGCTGAGAGAGCCCAGTGTATTTCTTATGCCCCCAGCTACACATGTGAGAGGTAAAACAAAGCTATTATTTTCATGACACCAATGAAACTAAATGGCATTGGTGAGCAAAAAAAAAAAAGGAACTCTAAATCTCTTAGTGTAGTTGAAGTTATTTCCCCTAACTGGAGGGTCTACACTGGGCTAGGGCTGGGGAAGCACAAGTCCCTGAGTTCAAACCCCAGTACCACCAATGAAGAAATAAAAATAAAAATAAATCGGAGGGTCTGCATAAAATCAAAATTATCAAAAAATCCTAATGATTTGAACTTCCAATTTCTTTGTGACAAATATGCCATGTAAGGGCAAGAAGGAGAAAACAATTCGTAAGGAAGCTTACTTACACCACGTCTTAGTGCTCTGTAAGTTTGGGTTTTGGTGGCTCACTCTCTCGATTCTCCAACTCCTCCTCTTCTTTTTGGGGTTTCATCTCCTTCTCAGGCTCACTGTGCCCTTCTCCTTCCTGAAGCCCTCCTTCTTGGGAATCTTCCTCCTGTGTCCCTTTCAGTCCGTTGGCACCAGAGGACTCTTTGGTTCCACCTCCACAGGCATCGGTGTCTGACAGAGCTGAGAACTGGTTGCCAGGGTGAAGGGTAGCTTCCCCTGTCTCCTTTTCTTTGGATTCAAAGGATGGCTTCTCAACTCTTTCTCCTAACTCGGCCTGACCATCATCTGGCACAAGTTTGGCTTTGGTTCCATCTCCGTCTGTGTCTGATGGAGGAATCACCTCTTCACACTGAGGGCCATTTACACTGGAACTTTCCACCTCCACCATCACCATGTTTTCTGAAGCTTCACTGGAATCTTCGGGGATGTCAGAAGGCGCTGGTCCCACAGTGGTTAGCACGAACTCATCCTGGGTGGCGATGGCTTGTGTTTCATCCTGGGCAGGGGCCTGCTGTCTGTCATCTTCTGTCTTCTGTCCAGCTCCCTGGCTGTTGGATTGCTCTGGGGAAGCCTGTGTCTGTAAATCAGGTGTTTCAGAGGCTGCTGCTTCTGTTTGCCCAAACTGGTCAACAGCCGTCTGGATTATGTTCTGTACCAGCTTACTGCTCTCAGTCTCAAGTCCCAAAATCTCGTTGTCAGCTTCAAGATCTCCCTCCTTGACATCAGTCACATTGCCTTCTTGACAACCAACCTGCTGGTCACCTTCATCTGGCCCCTGTTCCTGGAATGCGCCTCTCTCTCCTTCCAGATCACAATGGCCTTTTTCGTGAGTGGCGGATGCTGTTACTGTTACTGATTCTGCCCGAGACTCAGGCCCCTCTGGCACAGTGTCGTCTCCTGGCTGAGGGGTCCAATCTTCGTCTTTTTCAGAGAACTTTACTACTGGTGTTGAATGTGCACCTGCGGACTCCAAAGTTTCACCTGTTTCTGCTAAGTGCTCCTCCTCCACTGCTGCAGTTAGTGTAACTGATGCATCAGAGCTTTGAACTTGAACCTCTATGCATCCTGAGTCCTCTTGATGTTCAAGACTGCTTACTTCCCTTCCCCTGTCTGAGACAGGCCTATCCACTATCTGAATCAGCTGTGGGCTGAGCTCCTCGCAGATGGGAGCAGCTGTTTTTAGCTCAAGTTCTTGGCCCGCTGGTGTTGGCTTTGTTTCATTTTTCTCCCTTTCTGCTTGAGTTTCTGTCTCTTCCTCCTCTGGGCTTGGACGCTGGGGTTCAATATTGTCATCCTTCTCACATTCCACTTCGCCATCGAGGGCAATTTCAGTGACCTCCTCCTGGCGATCGGTTCTGTCTGTGCTTGTAGAGCTTTCATGTCCTTCAACACGTGGTTCGTCTTTCATTTCCTCATTAACAGACTGGCGAACCTCTTGAACCACCTCAGTCGAAACCGGTACTTCTTCCGCTGTTTGCTCTTGTTCTGTATATTCTAGAACGTCTTCTGTTCTTGATTGTTCTTTATTTTCTTCCTGCGATTGAAAACTAGCAGATGCCTCTTTGTGGGCTGGAATGGTCTCTGCCTCTGTGGCCTGGGGCTGGGTACCAGGTGCAAATGTGTTTTCTTCATGACTTTTCATAACCTCATCATCCTGAATTGTATCTAGAGCTTCCAAATCTGCCACGGGGGTGCTTCCGTTGGTCTCACTGTCTGTCGGGGTTTCAGCCGAGTCAGGGGGAACAGCCTGTCCCACTTCGCTCTCCTGGGGCTTTTCAGCCTGACTTGGGATTACAGGCTCCCCAGACTCCGTGCAGGCCGTCACCTCAGGAACTTCTTCCAAGCTTTCCAGGGTGGGCTGCACCATGACAGCCCCTTGAGTAAAACGTTCAGTGTTAGCTTCTTGTATGTGTACCTCCAACTTGACCTCCCTCTCTTCCCTTGGACCTGGCGCTTCACCTTCTTCCACATCCTCCACTTTCTCTGATGCTTTCAGCTCTGCTTCTCTCGTGGTCTGAATCGCGGCTTCCTGCTTTAGGGTGTCGGGCCACTCTGATTCCTCTTTCACTTTTTCTGCCACTGCCTGGAGGACGGCTTGAGTCTGCCTCTCCAGGTCTTCTAGATCTGGCACACCACCTTCCACCTCCTGAACTGGAGTGGCCTCCTCTGTGGTGTCTGGGGAGTCAGTTAGCTGGGAAACAGCTGACACCATTTCTGTGGTCTCTTCGGCACCTGATGCTTCGGTGGCTTCTTCGGTACCGATAGCCTCGGTGGTTTCTGCAGCTATCACTGCTTCAGAAGTTAATTCTGCCTCGCTGAGGATGGTAACCTTATGGACCTCTCGGCTCTCTGGCACAGTCTGGCTAACCACGGGGGTTTCTTCTGCCACGATGTCTCTTTCTATTACCTCCTTGGCTAATGGCACAGTCTCATCGTCCACTGGTTCAAGAGGTTCTGTCACGGAAGCAGATATCCAAGAAGGAGACCGCTCTTCCACAATGGTGACTGCCCGTGTCCCGTCAATGACAGCCACAGTCACTGTGTGAACCAGAGTCTTGCTGATCTCCTCGGACACAAACCCCATCACCTGTTCTTCGGGCTTCTCTGCACTTTTCTGGGCTTTCTGGGCTTCGGTTTTCTCCCTTTCTACTGCATCGTACTCAGACAGAGGGACCACAGCAGGGACATCAGAGTCATCTTCATTCACTTCTGTCGGTCCCGCGTCTTCCAGGGCGGCTTGCTCTTGTTTCCCGTCGGATCTTTTCTTCCGCCGTCCAGGAATAAATTTCTTAATCGAAACCCAAGCGTCTTCTTTCCCGGGCTCAATATCGGAAGCTGAATGTTCTATGCCCAGGTCTTCAGTTTTCTCTTCTGGTTTTGACTTGGGTTTTTTTCTTGGAGTGACTAATCTTTTGAATGATTCCCAGGGGGAAGCGCCCTCCCCTTCGGAAGGGCTTCCAGCTGCCTCCGGTGAAGAGCTTCCCTGCGCTTGATCTTGCTCCTGGGAGCTGGCAAGGACCACGTCGGCTCCTGGCTCTTTGTCTCTGGCGGCCTCCTCTGCTCTGTGGGCGTCTCCTCCCATCGATTTTGGCCCCCCCTCTTCATCAGAAGAGGATGCTTTTCGTGCTCTCTTCTTGGACGACCCCACGCAGATCAAAGCCTCCCAAGACACCGAAGTGTCAACCTTGCGCTTTGGTTCTTCTGGTTTTTGCTCTTCTCCAACTCCTTTGATTTCTTCTTGCATTTCAGAGGCTGTGCTCTCGGTGGAGGACAAGGTGGCACTCTTGATCTTGTCCAGCTCGTCTTCCTTATCACTTTCCGAAGGCCTTCGAACACGTTTCTTGGGTGTCACCATCTTTTTGAAAGATGCCCAGGGAGTAATACCTTCTCTCTTTTTTTCTCCATCAGAAATAGCTCCTTCTTCCACTTCCCCTTCCTGCTGTCCTTCTGCCACCCCCTTTTCCAGACCTGTGATCTCCTCGGGCTCATCAGGGGAGGAAGCAGAGCTCTCACCCTTCTGCTCGTCCCCACTGTCTGGGGACTCTAGAGGAACTGGATGCTGCTCCCCTGGCTCCTCATCTCCTCGTTTCCCCTTCTGCCTCTTTCCCGAGAGCTTCTTTAAGCCAGTGCTACTGAAAAGTTTCTTTAGGGGACTTCCCTGAACCTTGATTCTCTCTTGTGAAGACAGCAAGTCTACCTCACTTACGATGCCTTCTGGGTGTTTAGACAGCACCTTTTCATCTGGACTCAGATCCGTGGGCTGGAGATGGTCTCCTCCCGAGATGCACAATTCTTTGAGCTTCACCTCTTCAGCAGGCTTAGCTTCCTGAGGTTCAACATTTGCTTCAACCAGCTTTTCAGGGGACAAGGATTCTACTGTTCCTTCCACGTCTGCCTCTTGCCCCTCAGTTTCCTTCTCTGTGGTGCTGATGTGGACTTCAGCAACAACTTCTTGGTGAACTTCTATTTTTTCATCAAACACTTCTGTTGCCAGTGGAGCGCATTTCTCTTCGGCAGATCCCTGAAGGCCACTGGCTGGATCTTCCAAGGGCAGCTCCACCTTCTCATAGTCAGCGGACAGTCTGGCCTGGTCCACGCCTTCTGCAGGCTCCTGTGGCTGCTCGGAGGCTATTGGTGGCTCACAGATCTCTTCTGTTTTTTCATTTTCCTCCAGGTCTACCTTTTCTGTCTCTTGTTCCTTTTTCTTTTCAGAAGCTTCCAGCTCATCCTCCTTCGGCTTTCTGAAGCTGGTCTTTTTGCGCCAGCCAGCCCAACCGTGAGTGAAGAATTTCTTGAAGGGCGATGCGGTCTCAGTGGTGACGGGGCTGGTTGCAGATTCCGGAGACTTGGCAAGTTCTTTTTCTGGCCTCTCTTCTCCTTCATCTTTGCCTTCCTCTGCTGCTTGAGCAGACTCAGCTCGAGGATAAATTTCAGTGTTGCTTTGCTCATGCATAAGGGTGTCTTCTGACGTCTCTGTGGATTGTTTGAGTTCAAGTTCTTTGGTTGCTGTCTCCTCTGTCTCCATGCTGGGTTCTTGGTGATCGCCAGCCCCTGCTCCTTCACCTTCCTCTTTTTTGACAGTGAGTAGCTGGACAGTGTCAGACTTCTCGTTCTTATCCTTTTTCACAGTGAACTTAAAACCAACAAACTTAAACACCTTCTTAAATCCAACGTCGCTAGTCTGGGACTCGGAAGGTTGTGCAGTCTCTTCTAAGTTGCTTGCAGAAGAAGGAATCTGTTCTAGTATTTCAGGTATCTCCTCTTGCCCGTCCTTTATGTCCTCCGTCGCTGTGCAGTTGGTAGCCATCTCTTTATCTGAATCTTTTTCTCTCACATCTTCAGGTCCTCTCTGTCCAACTATTAACAAAAGGAAAGAAGGAGAAAGGGAAAAGGATTACAGTTCAGAAAAGTAAATATTTTAAAAACATGACCAATTAACATCCTCATAAACATCAAGCAGAGGACAGGAGAAGGTAAAGGTCATTTGGATTTTTGCAAATGTTAACAGATTGATCAACGTCTACTGTTTTCAAATGACCTTCAGAAGCTCAGGTTCAAAGTACTGCTCTGCTCTGCTCTTTTTGTTCCCTCGGAAATGCCACAGCATCACCAAGGTTAGGTTGACCAGCTAGCCTATCCTCCGTTGCAAGGTCAAATGAAATCACATACTACATGCATGGTTTTCAACCACAATCCATCACGTTTTAGATATAACTTCCACTTTGTAGGAAAAAAAAGGCGAGAAGGATAAACTAAATAACAGCACAAGTCTCTACTCACTCTTACTCTATGTTGTAACCAGCCTCATCTCAATAGGTCCCCCAAAAGGGAGCACTCCTTGTAGAAAGCTAAGTCATGGAGAACACAGAACATCTAACTGTGAGATAAAGGAGGTACACCAAAACTGACAGGGGGATGTGAGAGAATAGAAAAGCCAGCTTGAAGGGGCTCCCTCCAGCCAAACTTGGAAGCATTACAAAGAGTAATGATGGTCCTGAGTTCAAACCCCAGCACCATTAAAAAAAAAAAAAAAAAACAAAGAGTAATGACACTAATTGATCACAATACATGGAGCTTAAAAAATAAAAACAATGAAAAAAACATGAACTAGTGATGATGCTAAGAAAAAGTAAATGGATAAGTAATTCTCTGTGGGGGAAAAAGTCAATAAACAGATATATCTTCCACATTAACCCTTATAGTCATTCTCTTTAGAATTCTAGATATAGAAAATCACAATGTATAAGTGGCATTGTAATTAGTTAAGGCTGGGGGTATAGCTCAGGGTTGGGCGTACTCTAGGTTTGACCCCCAAGACTATTAAAGAAAAGAAGAAAAAAGGGAGAATAAACTTGTTCAGTCAAATCAAGAATTACTAAAACTCTGGGTGAAAGGTTGTCAGGAAACACACGGCTTCAAAGTATTACCCCCCGACAACTTAATTTAAAAAAAGTACCTTTACAATGGAGAAATGTGACAGGTAACACATTAACAAAGTGGTTAAACTTGACATCCTCAATAATGGGGCAAACTGTTTGATGGAATTTAATCACAGGAAACAATCAGCTGGATCCACAATGAAGGACATTCTGCAGAACAACCTGGCTTGAAATGCAATGTGACAAAAGGCAGAAATCAAGAAAAAAGGACTGTCTACAAGAAACCTTCAATAGTTTAAGAAGAGGGAGAAAATTTGTACGATATCATAACTGGTGAGTTGAGTCAACAGAGAGAGATGTTTGTTACATTTTCCAGTAAGTCTGAAATTCTAAGAATCTTGGGGATAAAAAGCAAGTCGATGTGATTTAATGAAGTGGGGAGGGAGTAACTGGGCTAAATTATGAGATTTAAGTCAGGCGCTGGTGGCTTATGCCTGTAATCCTAGCTACTCAGGAGAGGCAGAGATCAGGAAGATTGCAGTTCCAAGCCAGCCTGGGCAGAGCTCGTGTCACCCTATCTTGAAAATATCCAAGACAGGGCTGGTGGGGTGGCTCAAGTGGTGGAGTGCCTGTTTAGCAGGCCTTGAGTTCAAATTCCAGTACCACCAGAATAAACAAATAAAAATAAAGTAAGAGATTTAAGAAATATAATGACCTGAGGTGCCTGCATGGTCCTGAATTGGAGATTCACTTTTGAGTCTTCTGGGGGAAAATGTGAATATGGTTTATGATGAATGAATTTTTTTTTTTGCAGTACCAGGGCTTGAACTCAGGGTCTACACCTTGAGCCACTCCACCACCCCTTTTTGTGTTAGGTATTTGAGATAGGGCCTCTCAAACTATTTCCCTGGGCTGGTTTTGAATTGCATGCGATCCTCCCGATCTCTGCCTCCTAAGTAGCTAAGATTACAGTTGTGAGCCACCAGTGCCCAGCTATGAAGTGACTTTTTACTGAAAGAAAAGGGTAGAGATTTTGACTGAAGAAAACACTTAATCAAACAAATGACGCCATTATGGCTTTAAACATCCCCTTTCTTCCCTTCCCCTTCTCTTTGTCTCTCTCTCTCTCCCCCTCATGATCCAAGGCCAAGGGAAGGGTATGTTATCTTAGTTTTTGCTTGTCTCAATGTTCTGATTTTAAATACATGCACTGCTTTCTGTAATAAACAAAACTGAGGCAGGAGGATCATAAGTTCAAGGCCAATTTGGACAACTTAATGAAACCCTGTCTTGAAATAAAAAAATACAAAAGGGCTGGGGATATAGCTCAGTGGGAGAGTGCTTGCCAACATGGTCAAGGTCCTGGGTTCCATTCCCAGAGCTGCAAAAAAAAAAAAAAAAAAAAAAAAAAGGCAGGGTGGGGTGTAGAGCACGTAGCAAAGTTTCAGTTAGCTGGAGAAATAAGTTTTAAGTGACCTACTGTATCATATAGTCCACAATTAACAAGGCATAATTCAAAATTGCTAAAATGGATTGTAAGTGGTCTCAACCAATGGTAACCTGATGAGAGACAGTAGTTAATTAGCTGAATAAACTTATAATCCGCACACTGACCAAAAACATCACTGCACTACATACACACAAGAATTATTTTTCAATTAAATATTTCAAAACTACCAAACCAAACCCCAAAGAAAATCCTGAGAACTGAATATTTCAGATAAGAGGTTTGGAGGAAAACCCCAAGTCTCATCACTTCGATCAGAATATATTTCCTAAAGGATTTCCCTTTTCTTTTAAAAAAAAAATTACTATAAAACACACATTTGCAGAAGGCTGAGGTAGGAAAAGCATGAGTTCCAGGCCAGTCTGGGCTTAGATATAGCAAGACCCTGCCTTAATGAACCAAAAAGAAAATGCAAAAAAAACTCAGATATTTGTTCCAGACGTGGTGGCACACTTAGAATCCTGGCACTTGGGAGGCTGAGGCAGGAGGAGGTGAATTCAAAGCCACCTTGGGCTACATAGTGAGATGGTGTCACAAACATACATTTGTGACCAACTTTAGACTATAGCAATAAAGAAAAATTATCACCCACATTAAACATTAAGGCAAATATTTGAAGAGAAAGAAAGATTCAGGCGTTATTAGATTATCCAGAGCAGTTCTACATTTTACATATTGTATATACTGTTCCCATTATTTTTCAAAGCGTGTATGATCAAAAATGAGAAGAAAATATGGTAACTTTTCATTTGTTCATCTTAAAAACAACACTGATGAGGTGGCTTATAGTTAAATCTGAAGATTTCCTTAAATTAAATGCACTTCCATGAACTATTTCTTTAAAATCTTCCCAATTATAAATGAATACTCACAAGAGAACATTTCTAATGCAACACTAGAAATGTGACCTTCTTTTATTATAGGTGGATGACATCATTGGGAATATAAACCAAGCCCTGATACCAAACTCTACCTTAGTACAGTGTTACTAGTAATGAATACAAATCTAAATCAGCCTGAGCCACAAGCCTGAAATTAAAAATGTTCTCTGGAATTAGGAGCTGCAGATGTTTTTGCCAGCAAGATGGGAGAAAGCAGGGTGAACATGCTAACAACATTCAGTTACTTGCTTTATAGAGGTTTTTTAAGTATCCAGGAAATTTAAAAATCATAGCTGGTCAACTAGTCTTTTTGTTTGCTTTTAGTGGGAGGTACTGGGATTGAACTCAGGATCTCCCCTTGCTTGGCAGAAACTCTGCCACTTGAGCCAGCCCTGTTAAGTCTTTTTTTTTTTTTGGTCTTTTATTGTTGTGCTGGGTGGGGGTACATTGTGGCATTTATACATACAGGTTCTTACAATGTATCAAATATATCACACTTGAATTCACCTCAACCATTCTCCTTCACACACCCCCACCATAAGTGTCTTTTGATGTAAGCAATCCTGGGTCAGGGGGAAGACAACGACAGGGCTGGCTTTGTGATTTGTGCAGTTTGGACACCCCAAGCTCTGCCCAATCTCCGTCTCCTACCTTACAGTAAAGGAAGGCCTTGCTTCCTAAAAAAAAAAAAAAAAAAAAAAAACACCACATTTTTTTTTTCCTACCACACCATTAAGCTGTCAAATGGCTAAAGGCCCCAGGCCTTTGAAACTACCTGGCCTGGCGGCAGTTTAAATTGAGTTCCACCGTGAAGAATAACTGCTTCACACACCTGCACTTGCGCGTTCCAGGCCTGACCCCACAACCGCACGCCCTCAGGAGCCTGCCCCCGGGTCTGGAAACCACCTGGACGCTTAGACCCCATTTCTCAGCCCCATGTTCGGGCATGTCGAGCCTGGTGCATCCCCTTGCGTGCCCCACACTTGCTGGGTCCTCGCTGTGCAGGGAGGGCATGTCTAGGTCATTTTCTACCTCCTCTGCCACCCTCCCCATAGCCATTTCTATCCTAAACCCTACTCCGTTTTCAAGCCCCAACCCCAAGCTTGTGCCGTCTGTCTGGAGAGAAGTGGCATCAGCCCTGGGCATCCCTGGAGCTGCTTCGTCTCCTCTCCAGGTTAGATTACGGCCGTGTGAGCGAACAGGACCCTGAAGAAGGCCTTGCCTTTCCATGGCCAACACTGTGACAAGTTCAAGTACAGGGTTCCCATTCTGCATCCCCGGGCAGCATGCAATGGCCGCGTCCTCATCCCTGACCCTTCCTGCTCTCTGCCCCAAGGCAGGGCAGAGAAGGAAACCGCAGCCAGGTCTCTGGCTACCACTCAAGGTCACGGTCGCAACCGCTGGGCGGTGGAAAAGCGAACGGCCGCCAGGGGGCGCGCTACTCACAGCAAAAGTTAGTCCACCAGGGCATGGCATCCGTCGCCGGCCGGCAGGGGCAGCGAGACAGAGGCCCGAGAGGACCCGCCCGCCTCTCCCCGCTGCCCCATGGCGGGACGGGGACTGGCGGCTGCGCGGGCGCCCTGCGCGTCA